ATACTACTTAATTCACTATTAAGCTTTTTTTACTGCTAGTACAATATTTTATAAACTAAGTAAATCTTGGAAATGAACTCGTACTAGTACCGCTCTTTTTTGTTTTTCTTGATGATTGACTTTCAACCTTCCCGATGGTGGAAAATAACGAAGATAACAAACAAACAAACGTTTTGGATTCATCCATGATCCATGAGCTTTTGTGTTGTTGTGCCAACACAACAGGCCCGTCTCTGGCGCGTCGATGAACCCGGCCCGGAGCGTGGGCCCTGCGCTGGTGAGCGGGGAGTACCGGTCCATCTGGGTGTACGTGGTGGGCCCCGTGGTGGGGGCCGTGGCCGGGGCGTGGGCCTACAACCTGATCCGCTTCACCAACAAGCCCCTCCGCGAGATCACCAAGAGCACCTCCTTCCTCAAGAGCATGAACAGGATGAACTCCGCCTCCGCCTGAGCGATCATGGCCCATGGGCCGGCGTGTCCTGTGGAGGGCTACTCTGCTACTGCTAGTAATTTAGCCTACTACACCTATTCACGTGTGTGTCTGTGTGTGAGAGTGAGTGGAAACATATAAATTATTCCTGAGTGCGTGTGTGAGTGGAAACATATGGAAAGGGTACCTAGCTACGACGTGCTGTGGTTTGTTGGAGCATTCATGTCGATGTGGCACAACCATGCATGTCAGGGAGGAGGACGACTAGCTGCTACACGTATGTGTCGTCGATTCCGGGCAACTCTAGCTGGTTAACTATAGTTGGTCTACCCCGTGAATGTGCTTAATTATAAGCAATTCGCTGCATTGTCATGTACGCGGATATTGCATCCCTCTCTCTGTTGTCTCATGATATGACATATATAATAACTTGGGATTAGAATAGGTCGAAGAAGATTGGAAGGGGTTGAGATGGATGAAATCAATTACAAGTCAAAATGTTTTATTTGCAGGATCAAAATGTTTTGTTGCAGATTCAATCTCTTCCAAACTAAAGAAATACTGTGCCCGTGTTTGAAGCTCCGAAGTAGTAGTTTTCCTTCCTTGGTAAAAGAACGGTCTACCTATGATGACACATGCGGTAAAATATGAACACTTGGTGACAGAAATACAGCAGTGACTAAAGTACCTGACTGAAAGATGAGATTATCTTTCCAAGCTAAGACCTGTGGTTAAAACTGACCCATTGAACATTGCACATAGACGCTACCTTTGAAATCTAAAACTACCTTTTGTAAATATGACACCCCCACAAAATCAAAAGGAATTAGGCCATGGCTTAGATTTATAAGCCTGACAAGACTAACCTTAAGCTAGGTAAAACAGCACTTAAACTATCCTTAAGGTACGCAAAGCAACCCAACATGGAGCTTGGTTCATTATACAAATGTGTAGTCACCCCTACTTCATGATCAATCATGTAGAAACATCAAACTGTATTATGAATATCACAAATTTTATAAAGATGGAGCAAGCGAGAGGCATTAATCTTCAGTGCACTGCAATATGCATAATACCAAGCATGAAGAGTTAAGCCATTTTTAACAGCAAGATAAGAAAAAATATGTGATCTGAAGAGTTAAACCAGTACTTTTATATGTTTGTTAACAACAACCATTTTGCTGGTGTGAAAAATGGAACGTAAGTAGAAAGAGCTGATAAAAAACAATGGCAAGGATGAGAGAGAACAAGGCATGATGTTCTCTCCAGACCATAGATGCCACTAGGTGTGACAAATGGATTATTTATCCATTTTTTTCAACTAATGTGTATTTGATAATATATGAATGTCACTAAATTTCCTGTACGATTAACAATTTAGATCCTATTCAGATTCAAATTCTTGTAATAAATATGGGGTGCATGGTCTAAACTTCTACATCCAAAAAAATGCAATTAAATAGGAGGTATTCATGTCTAGAGTGCAAATCATGGTAACAAAAGGAAGATAAATGGCAAGGGACTGACTTCTTAGTGGACCTGATAGAGTGATGTGGATAGAGTGAGAAATGTCAGACGAGTGATACCAAGATATACAAGATCAAAAGGACACTGAGACACACAGAGTCATTGGAAAGATAGCAGAGTTGCAACTGTTTCCAAGCTTTGCACCTGTACAATAGAGAGCACTATCACTGGAAACAAGACCTAAGACACTGTTACTAACTAAAGTGGACAGTCTAGAGCCTGAGAGATGACATAGACGACAATGCCACTGCGTAAAAGTAGTGGTATATGATGTAGCTGTCGCGGAGGCAGAACTGGATGACTGGATAGATAAAGTGGGTGAAGGAAGACACAACCACACGCTCAAAAAAGAGAAGACACAACCAGTAAAGCTCCCAAATGACCTGAGAATCATGATGCCCAGGCCCACAGAAGCTCCTGTAGGAGATCCTGAGTCAACCTCAAGAATGATACGGCAGTCGTGGTCAGTGATCTGACTAGCACACATCAAGTGCATAGCGAGCTTAGATATGCAAAACAGAAGGGACATGAAAAGATGAAGTAGAAAGAATGTCACATCAAGCGATAGGAAGAGACGTGATAAATGTGAATTGGGATATAACATCGAAGGCAAATGAGTCGACTCAAGAGTCATATGAAAAGATACACTAGAATCGAGAAACCACATGGATATATACCTGGATGATGAGGATTAAGAGTAGAACCAGAAGCCTGAACAGTGGTCCCGTGTGCTGAGGTCTGTGCTGCGGTAGTAAGACGGGGAAACAGGGCAAGAATCTCCTGCTCAGCGGCAGACACTGAACGAGTGGCATGTGGAGTAGAAGAGTGCCGGCCTTGGCTCTTCCGGTCACGCTTTTTCTTGTGGCAAGCCCACTCGTCATGGCCACGCCGTTTACAGTAGCCACAAAGAACACCATAAGAAGTCCCTGCCGCCACTAGCGAGGGCAGAGGCATCGAGTAAGGTGGTGGCGAAGACATCTGGGAGGGCGTGGCAGCTAGCATAGATGGTTGCTGCTGAGCACTGCTCACACTAGAAGTGCGAAGGCGTGTCTCCTCAGCCCGTAGCTCAGGCATTGCTTCGGAAAGCGATGGACACGGACGACGAGTCAACAACTGCGCCCGAACACTCGCGAACTCAGGACGAAGCCGAGAGAGGAACTCGTGAAGACGAAGAGTCTCTCTCTGGCACCGGTGGCGCTCACAGCAACAGCAAGTACCAGCGCTGCAGAACTCAGCACCCAAGCTGTCTAGACGATGCCAGATAGCTGACATTTGACGGTGGAAGTCCTCAACAGTGGAGCCAAGCTGGCGAAGCGCCTGAGCCTCCTCGATGATAGCAAGGCACATTGCCTCATTACAAGTCTCGTAACTACACCTCGAGAGGTCGACCTCAATGCTCGCAACCAAGATGGCCTTGGCACAGGCTTCCTCAAGCAGCCAAGTCTTGTAGACACCGCGATCAGACTGGTAGTTCTCCATTCGGTCTCAAACACCTCAAGCAAAGCACTCTTAGCGTCACCAGCAACATCCGGCGGATAGCTGGGCGGCGTGGGAAGAGTAGGGCGTTGAGGACATGTCCACTCACCCGTGAGATACTCCCAAAGCTGCTGAGCACCCATGTGAACCTCCATGTGGAAGACAACCTTGCTCCAATTAGTGCCATTGAAGATAACCGGGCACCGAGGAACAGAAAAAACATCCGGACAAACGGACGATGGCATGATGCCTCTCTTCCTTTTTCTTTCTTTCTTTTTTTTTTTACAAAAGAGCAGAGCACAGCACGGACAGCTAAGAGGCGGACGAGCGACAGCCCACTGGCGCAGTCGCGCCCGAGCGCGTGAGGCCGCGGGGCCGCGGACGTAGTGCCGGATCGCGGGCTGCGGTGGAGCGGACACGGGGCCGCGAGGTCGGCGCTCTGCGCCGTCGCAGGGCAGGCGCGGCGATGCGGCCGCGGGGTCGGCGCGCTGTGGAGGCACGAGCGCGCTGGCGGCAGTGCGGGCCCACGCGGGACGACGGCGCGGGGTGGAGCCGCAGAATGGGGAGGGAAGGGAGGGAGTTGCACGACCACCTCGCCGGAGGCGGTGGCCAGGTGAACGGATCTATGTTGGGTTGGCTGGGCTGGGATAGTCGCTGGTTCGTTTACACGAGAGACAAGTACTGCTGCCTATAAAGAGAAGTACTGCTGCCTGTAAAGAGCATGTTAGGGCTGGCCAGCCAGCCCAGCCAGCCCGCCCAGCCGATCGGATCGGCTGGGGAGATGAAATGCAACTGTATTGATATGGAGATGTACAAAGTGCACATAGCACCCTCCATTACTGATTAAATACATGCACAGTATATACATCTAACACCATGGATGTGGAAAAAGGATAAAAAGGAAGGCATGAACGCCCTAAACCACAAAGTATTTTTGAGCAAGGAAGAGGCAGTGACAGTGAGCAAGGAAGATGCAGCAAAAGTGGATGGCAATGAGGTCTGCTAAGGATGTGAATGGTGCTGATAGTCTCTACAAAGGCCAGTTGCAACCTTGAGCCCTGCTTGAAAATCATGGAAAACGGAAAAGGATGCAGGGTTAAAACCAGCACAACCATGACTAGTGAGATGCCCCACAGATAAAAACTACATAGCACTGGATGGATGGAGGTACCTCAGAAAACTGGGGAAAATTGGAAGATCCTGATGCCCCCTGGTGAGTTAGGCCTTGAAGCAGGTTAACCAGCCGAGTGACCTCATTCTGGGTCAATCAGAACTCAGAAGGTTCAGAAGACCTCACCTTGGAGCAACTGCCTCCCCTGTTGTTCTTCCTCTTGCAGCACTTCTAATAAGTGTGACTAAAGTTCCCACAATGGTTGAACAGAATGTCAACAAAAGAAGGATGTTTACTTCATTGAATGCATTCGTAAAGGCACCATTTGTCATTGTGGCGGTGGTGCTTCAAGCAGCAAGCACATTCTCCACAAACATCTGGGAGTGGGACCAATGAATCGATCTTGCACCAGATAGTCATAAACTGGTAAAAAAATGTTTCCACAGAATCGTCGTCCTATTTAAGTGCCTGGAGATGCTGCAGCAGGGAGTAGTGGATGGCGTTGACAACCGGCTGGTAGTGCTTCTGAGGGTGTTCCCACGTCTGCTTGGCATTCTGCAGCAGCAGGTGGATCATGTTGGCCTCACTATGAACCAGGACGACTGGACGAGCATGGCACTGGCGTCGTTGGCGTCCCATTGCTTGTAGGCATCAAGAGAACTTTGATAGGCCTTGAAGGCCTTATTGGCAGCATCTGAGTGGTCACCTTGGTATGTAGCCGATGGCCAGAGAGGAGGGGCAAGAGGGCAGGGGCTCTCATCGGCGATGTGCTCCCAAGACCAAGGGCACTGAGACTGATCCTGGCTAGCTATGCCCATAGCCTGAAGTTTGTCCCGTTCAGATCCAGCCTAACTAAGGGCGCCAGCATCTCAAATATAGACATCTCCGGTTTCTGCTAAGGAGAGTTGCCTCCAGGGGGCGGCGGTGTGGCAAGGAGTGGCAGCGCAAATTCTTCACTTGGTCTAGGAGGATTGGCCGCATATGTCACCCCGGGCGACTGGCCTCAGCAGGGTCCAGGAAGTGGCGCTCCAACAAGAGCAGCAGGGGCATCTCTTGGATTGCAGCGGCAGGGCAGTGGACGCCGGTGATGGTGGCAATGTGGATTCAGGGGGTTAGGGTTTTGCTTTTAACCTGAATGAATTTTTAGTGTTTACATAGGAAAAGTGGAGTACAATTGAAGGTGATATTTTATCCAAAGAAACTCCTATACATGAGCACAACTTGGCAAAGCTATGAATCAGGCTTATAGGTCGAAAATCCTTCACTTCCACTGCATCCACTTTCTTTGGTAGCAGGGTTATAAAGGCTGTGTTCAAGAGCCGAAATTTGAAGACATGGCCTTGCTGGATGGCCTCCAACGCCCTCATCACATCACCTTTAATAATGCTCCAACAGGATTTATAAAACCTTCCTGTGAATCCATCCGGCCCTGGGGCCTTATCCAAGGGCATATCCTTTATGGTAGCCCACACTTCCTCCTCAGAGAAAGAAGCATCCAGCTCAGATAAATTATGATGTTGAATGTTCAAAATATCTAGATCAAGAGTGTAATCTCTTTCTTCAGCTGTTCCAAGAATGCTCTCATAGAAATCATCCACTGCTTTCTGTTTTTCATCTTGTGTGACAACCACCTGATTACCAACTTGCAATTTTGAGATGAAGTTCTTCTTCTTCCTGTATCTAGCTTGTTGGTGGAAGAAAGCAGTATTGGCGTCACCTTCCCGGAGATAAAGAAATCTAGAACGTAGCCGTGCAATGGTTCGTTCAAGGGAAGCCAGACCAAGACAATGAAGTTTGAGTTTCTTTCTGAGCCATTCCTCACGATCAGAGAGTGCCCTTGAATCTCTTTCAATTTCCAAACGGTGAAGTATTTCCTTGGCCAATTCTAATTGGGCTTTAATATTCCCTACTTTTCCGTTGTCCCCCCATTTTGCAGCCCTCATCGAGCGGCTGCAATTTAAGGAAGATGCACTCCACAAAGACAAGTAGACTGCTGCTGCAGCCTCCCAATTCTGTTTAACAAACATCAAGAAAGCCGGGCAATTTGGTCCGAAGCTTTCAAAATGGAATCTTCGCTTGCCGGATGTACACACCTTCAAACCAAGGATAAGTGGGCAAAGTGGTTCTGAAACCCCGGCTGCTGTGCTTTGGAGTACAAAGATCAGGAAAAATATTTTCCCAATCACCACAACAAAAAGCCCGATCCAAACCTCACCAAAGTAGGCGATCTCCTCTCATTGGACCAAGTATATTTACGACCCAAGAGCGGAATCTCCTTGAGATCATTGTCATCTAGAAAACGCCTGAATCTTCCCATCATAGCTCTATCTAAATTTGCATTATTCTTGTCACACTGATAAATCAAATTGAAATCTCCGCCTAAGAGCCAAGGACCATTGCAAAGAGCCCTGATATTCCTTAATTCTTGCAAGAACAACACTTTCTCATCATCCCCTTGTGTCCCATAGACGCCGGTGAATCACCAATTGTGACCCTCTTGCTCGCAAAGCGAGCGAAGCTGAATAAGTATCAATTCTTGATGCAATTGCACGGCAAGAACACCCCTTCCAAGCAATCGAACCCTCCTCTAGTCCCATTGGCGGGGCGCAATGAAATTATCGTCGATGAGAGCCCACGGACCGAAAGGAGAAGATGTTGGGACATGTTAGCGACCTTGGTTTCTTGTAAGCAGATGATGTCGGCATTCATTGGATATAACAACATCTACGATGTAACTCCGACGATCCCCACATTATTAAGACCTTGGACATTCCAAACTAGAATGGTAGAAGGATTCATTTGAGCAAAGAAATAAGATGACCATAACAGAGTCTAACCTTACAACATTGTAAGGACATCTGCAGCTCAAGACTGCTCACCCTCTCCCACTTCCCTGACCAAAAATAGCGGCTAAAAAAGCACGACGTGGGAATCAGAGAGTAATGGCCCAAGAGCTTACTATAAATGTCTTGAGCTTCGGTGAATGATCTCCCTTTCTTCAAAGCCAAGCTGCCGCATCACCCTCATCTCGAGCCCATCGAAAGCACCGGTCCCGGCGAGCATGGAGCGGCACCGGCGACCCCTTGCTGCTTGCCATGTAGAGAGACCCGGAGGGAGGGCTTTTTTTCGCCGCGCTCGGATTACAGGCGAGAGGGACGAGCTCTGTCCCACGGCTTGCGCACCTTGTCGAGATTCTGGAGCCGGGACTTCGCCCCTGAACCCAGGGAAGGAGCATCCGCAACGGCTGGGGAAGCTGGGGCAGGGGACCTAACACGGCGCCGCCGCCTGGAGTAAACTCGGACCTGCGCCCCCCCAGCATGTAGAGGTTGAGCAGGCGGCGGGGCAGGGTCCGACGGAGCAGCCGTCGATAGGCGCTCCCCAACCAAAGAGGTATGAGCCTTGCTTGAGATATTGAGAGGGGAAATCAATGACGGGCGGATTGAATTCGGGATGATGGGGCGCAGGGGGAGCGTTAGAGGCGGCGTGGCGAGGCCGGAGTGGGAGCTTCATCCGTCGCCTTGCCGACCGGCGGATTCGAGCACGGCACAGTCGGCTGGCCGGGGAAGCTCCCTACCGTAGCCTCACCAAGACCAATGTGATCCATAATAGAGTTACAGCCCAGGACCGGGGAATCCAGAAACACACAACGGGGGCCCAATTCCAGCCCCATGGAAGCAAGAAACTAAAAACCCCAGAGACAAGAGAGAAAAACGACCCATCTAAGACGGTTAGAGCCTTAGAACCAAAATAGATCAATGGCCTCTAGCAAATGCCTTAGTAGGCAACTCCTGAAGACCTTTTGCCCCAGCTGCGCACCACAAAATGCATTCATCAGTGATAGTCTGCAGCAAGATCGAGATGTTTGGGCTAGTGCCATTAAAGACACAGTCATTTTGGTGCTTCCAGATTTCCCAAGAGACAAGGATGATCAGGCTGTTGATCCCCTTTGGCCCTTTCAACAGCCTTTCGACACACCCTTCGCAGCTTGGCACCACCAGGTTGAGAACTTGTTTGAGGTTGGCTGAGGAGCACCTGAGGCCAGGCCGAGCTTCTGTAGGATTTTATATACCAAACCTGACGAGCAAAGACGCAGGAGACTAACAAGTAACAAGTGTTGTACAGTTTCATTTTCTTGGTCACAAAGGGGGCAAGCATATAGCTGGGCATTTACACATCAATGATGTATTGATGCTATTAAAAATACAGTGACTTAACCAAATCCATGCCATGCCAAGGTTCGAAGTTGCTGCAGGTTTTCTCAAAAAGATTTTAGAAAAAACTGCCAATTCAATTCTAGGAACATTGGCTTCAGTTATCACAGATAAACAATAATGTAACAAGAAACCTTCCTCGACGAAGTTCTAGCAATGGATTTTACAAAAAAAGGTCTAGGTACAAGAACATTCATAATTGGAAGCAAGGGCTTACAATCTCTGCAGACTGATGATGGTACCCAGCTCTGGTGGAATAGAACCCGCAAGCTGATTGCCTTCTAACTGTCTGCGGAAATTAGTTATTAGGTTACTGTACTTAGCTCTTTTCTTCTTTCAGTTTTACCTCCACAAGATGCAGGTACATGCAAATTGCAATGGACGCACATATGCAACTCACATAGATTTCAACTTGGGCATGCGTCCAAGCTCCTTCGGTAGGGTTCCAGATATGCGATTTCCCTGGAGAGACCTGTAGTCAAACAAGAATGCTGAATAAAGCATACATGAATACTTCTGACAAAACTATGGGAGCAGTGCAAGGCGTACAGATTAAAAACAGGTAGGTCAGCCCATGAAGCTGGAATTGGTCCTTGAATGAAGTTGCGTGACAAGTCGCTGCAAGAAATGCAAACTATGTTTTCCTGATTTGACTGTCAAAAAATATCAAAAACTTCAGATAGCTTGATTAACTTACAGATTTTGCAGATAAGATTGACAACTTCATCTGGTAGAACTTCACTAAGGTTCTGCCGCATAAGCTCCCTATGATGCGTACAAACACATACAAATAAAGGCATAACGCATCATTCAACTTAGAATGAAAGACAATAGAACCATACTGAAAGAATCTGGATGAGAACCATTTTAGAGCAAAGAAATTAGCAGAACAAGGGTGCATGTCTTACAAGCTGATAACATGGCACTCGGTGTGGTTGTTGAATGAACAGTCACATGTCACATTACTGCTAAACTTCGCATTACTGCTAAGCGAACCAGTGACATTGACCCAATTTCCTGATCCGCTGCATGGATCCACACTAAAATCCCAATCTGCTTTGTTAAGCTTGCGGGCTATACCTTTGAGTGCTTCAACTGCAAAGGCGAAGACACTTCAAGTTTCAGCCAAATGCAGAAGCTACAAGCTAGTATGTACGAGATCTAAGCTTGTTAACATAAGCATTTCATTCTGCTTCCCTTTCCCTGGAAAGCAAAAGAAAATTGATACAAATAGTGCCAGAGTAAACATGAAGCATCCCCACGTCAATAACATCGCAGAGCAGCCACAGCACCTGAATCTCATGCAACAAATGAAGTCAGTAGTCCAACATTTCGGGGCAGCAGAACTGTAGAAGCATTGCAAAACCGTTGCCATGGCCAACCCAAAACAAGACTAAGCGGTCAGCACTCGGAGCAATGCTTTGCCGACGCCAGCGCAATAAGCAGCTGGCATTCGACTCAGCCGTTTCGTCAAACACTTGGCAGGCCCCCACCCGTTGGACCAGAGACAGAGGGAGCAAGGTGGTCAGCCACCTGCCAACAGCTTTGGCATGTGCATGTCCCACGGCGCGCAAGTTGGGATCTTGAAGGCGAACACCGCAGTCAAACGTCAGAGCCTCAAAGGTGAGGATTTTGTCGGCTGACAGGGTTTGTTTACTTGGCTCGCTCGGCAAGTGGGGAACTGGCCTAATCTTGACGAAGATGGATAAGCTTCGACATGACGAGTTCACACGTTACAGACTTACAGTGAATTAAAGATGCTGCTTGTTAGTTTGATCTCCACCAATTGATCCAGGGCCCTTGAATCTGCATCTTGATCGGGGCGCCCAACCGTTCTTTGGTTGGTGAGCCCTCGTCACACAGCATCATAAAGAGAGATGGGGGCCGGGCACAAGCTACGAGGTTGATCTAAGCCGCCGCAACCCACCTACAGTGAAATCCTAACCCGATCTAAAGAGAATGTGCTGCCAGCGACAGGAAGCCCCACCAACTTCGTCGTCGCCTCTGTAGTGCCACCACCGGGACGCCTTCGATCGCTGTCACTGCACCGTGCCTGCACCTACGACGGCCTAGCACGCGTCACGGCTACCACTACTCCAACTCGACGCAGCCACCGTGATGGTGATCGCGGACGCACTAGCTACCAAGGTACACCAACGAACTGTCCATATCTACACCTAGAGGTTAAAAAAACCTATCAATGGTATAAGAGACAGGTTCTAGTGTAGATCTAAATTAGGGGTAGCAATTTAGAAGAAGATAAGAAAGATCCAATTCGGATCGAGACAGAGGGTTCCTAACCCTAAACCCAAAATCGGGGAAGGAAAGGAGTGAGAAGGGCCTCAAGTTTTGAAAAGCAACCCTAACCCTAACCCTAACTAGCGCAAAAGCTCGGGGAAGAAGATCAGTATGAAACCCTAACCCTAACGCAACCCTAACCCTAATCCCCAATCGGCAAAGAACCAAGAAGAACACAGCAAGATCCAAAAACAGAAGAGGGAAAGGGGAAGAGGCATACCTCGGTGCTCCACCGCGCTGCCACCTCGTTGGCGCGCGAGAAGTACTCCGAGCCGATGCTCGTCGGGCCTGCGCGAGCTTCGTGCTAGGGCGCCGTGGCTAGGCCACTCGACGACGGCACGCTCACCCGCTGGGGAGCACGCGCGCCGGCGAGGGGGCCGACGACGGCACCATCTCTCTCTCTCTCTCTTGGCTCCAGGCTCACCTCCATGCGCCACCGTGAGGCGGCTCGACGAGGCCGCGTGCAGCCTTGGCCGCATGCACGCTCCGACGAGCAGCCCCTCGACGGTGCGGCTAAGATCGGGCGGCGTCGCCATTTCGCCTGCTCGTCGGCCATGCGAGAGAGACAGGAGGGAAAGAGAAAGGAAATGAGCTAGGGTTTTTGCGAGGGGAGCCGGTCGACGCCGTTTTTGTTCGGCCGAAGAGCACGCGCAGCTGTCGATCTCCATCGAACGGCGCAGAATCAACGGACCAGAGGCCGGCCCAGGCGGGCGGGTGCAGCTGCACGGCTTTGCCGGCCCAGGCCCAGGTTGCGGCCTAGGTACGGGCAGCGCGCGTGCAAGGGAGCTGGGTCGGGCGGCTTTTGCCGTTTTGGGCTGAGAACCAGTCAAGATTGAGCCTAGTTTTTTTCTTTTTTATTTTCCAGTAAATGTTTATTTCTGGAAAATAAAAAATGGCTCAAAGAAAATAGAAGAAATGGGAATTTTCCTGTGGGTAAAATTCACAAATTATCTTTAAGTTTTCGCTGCAAAGTTTAATGCTGATTATCTTCTAATTAAATTTGAACCAACGAAAGAATTTAATTTGAAGAGCAATTATATTTAGTAAATTATGATTATGTTGATCCTCTAATTAAATTGGAACCAACGGAAAATTTTAGTTAGAGGAGTAGTCCATTTTTGTTTGTGTTAAATTATGGTATTGTTATTTTCTGACCAACGTTGATGATAACAATATTATAATGAGTTTAAATTTGAGGTTTAAATCTCTGATAAATTTTACACCAACGTGATCAATTTTCAGAGAGTAGATGAAGACCAAGAAATGTTCCTGAATTAATAGAATGTATTTTATTAACATGTTTCCGCCTCAATGATGTTGATTATTTTCAAATTAAATTCGAATCAACGGGAGAATTAAATTTTGAAGAGTAGATATATGGATTTCATGTTAATTTCTGAGTTTCATGCATTAATTTTATTTCCTGCCCAATGATGATGTAGAATTGATGTAGAAGCACATTATATGTTTTATATTAACTGACGAGATCACTCGGCTATATACCAACGGGCTGCAATGCTGGGGTATGTGAATGAAAAGGTTTAAGTCAAGCCAGTTCAGGACAGTCTTTGTTAGTTTACTAATTTTCTAATTAAATTAGAACCAACGGGAAGATTTCATTAGAAAATAAAGTATAAGTGAATGTTTTAGTCGTCATGACTAAGTTTTCGTATAGATGTATCCCGCATGGAGAGATGTTTTGGTATAGTAATTATGTTAGTCCATCCAGCATAGTGGGTGAAGTTTTGTGATGACTCATATGTTTTTTGTATTCCGCATAACGAGAGAAGTTTGGGTAGCTCTTATGCTATCCTAGTATCGACCATGGCACAATAGAAATGCATCGTCATGGTCAATACTAACCAAAAGATAAGAAAAAATACAAGTGTGACTTACAAAAGTACCGCTAATAAAAGACCTCGTTGAGTTCTTAAAGTGAATTAAGGAAAGTGTACTCCTAAACGGATCAAGAAATAACTTTGTTTACATGACACAATCATGTGAATGAAGTAAGTTATAAGTGTCTTCTCGTTTACAGGCTTTCTGAATAGTTATCGAAATTATGACAGTAAAGTTCATGCCATATTTCGAGGGGGAGAAAAATATAAAGATCGTTTAAGAAAGATACTCTTCATTAAGAGTGAGATAAAGATTAATTAAGATGAATGTGACCGTCGGAGGAGTACAACGGTTACAACAATGATACCCCTAAGCAGAGAAATAGCTAAATTCCTGGACTTTTTAAAGTTCCGACAGGAAAATAGCGTAGTCAGTCTCAAAGATGTTAAGGTGGTGCTTAAAGCGCCATATGAAATTTTAACGGATTAAACCCAAAATAAGATATTTGAAGATACACTATCTTTAGAAAAGATGGAAATATCTGGAAGAGCATGGTATGTAGAGGTATGTAGAGATCTAAGACTTGAAGAGAAGCGGGGCTGCATGCCTACTTCAGTGATTCAAAAACAATGAATCTCTCAATATATGTTGATGTTGTATGACTTATACAACACCTGTTGTTGGCTTTTCGAAGAAGATGAATAATGTAAACAAGGATCTTGTCAAACAGGAGCCTGTAGAATTAATTGCCTCTTGACAATGAAGAGCAACAACAGCCCCATATGAAAGTGCCAGTATATGAGGCCCTAGAAGGTCTCAAAGAATTAGTAAACCAGTTTTTTCAATGACTATAAAGTCTATGTTAGTAAAAAATTCAAATGAAGGGTGATCCCACCTCATTTGAAGAAGCCATGAGAAGCGTTTACTCGTTTAAATGACAAGAAGCTATAAAGTTGAAATGAATTCGATAAGTACCAACGATGTTTGGGACTTAGAAGTAATTCCTAATGAAGCCAAAACAGTAGGCTGTTAATGGATCTACAAGACAAAATATGACTCCAAAGAGAATGCAGAAAGATATAAAGTACGACTTGTGGCAATATGCTTTAAGCAAAGAGAATGAATAGATTACGATGATAGTTATCTCTCCAGTCTTATGTAAGGATTCTTTTAGAATCATAATGGTGTTAATGGCACATTACGATTTAGAGTTACATCAGATGGATGTAAAGACGGCATTCCTCAACGGGAATTCATATGAAACGATTACATGGCATGACCCCAAAAGGTTTTGTCGTGGAAGAAAAGAATATGTGGGATGCCGCCTGTAGAAATCCATTTATGGGTTAAAAGTAAGTCTCTATACAGTAGTATTTGAAGTTGATGAAACGATAAAAAAGTTTGGGTTTTAAAGAAAATGAGAAGGACAATAGCATTTATGCAAAGTTCAAGAATGAAAAATTCATTTTCCATATCCTGTGAATAGATGACATTCTACTCATCAGTAGTGATGTTAATTTGTCATTGGAGAAGAAGTTTTGTCCTCAAGTTTTAATGTGAATGATCTTGGTGAAGCGTTATTGGTTCTAGGAATCAAAATTCACCAAGATAGAAGAAAATTGCGTATTAGGACTATCGTAAAAGCATACTTAGAAAAGATTCTGAAGAAATAAAGTATGCATGCGTGTAAACCTACGTCTGCTCCTATAGTCAAGGGTAATAGATTGGAAAACTCTAAGTGTTCCAAGAACCGATATGAGATCGATCAAAAGAATATGGTTTCATATGCTTCAGTTGTTTGGGAGCTTGATATGTGTACAAGTACAAGTAAGAACTTACCCTGACGTAGTTTATGTATCCGGGATATTTTGGCAGAAGTCCAGTTCAGATATAGGCCCCGTTCGGCTGGCTGAATCTTGACTGAAACTGGCTGGTTTTGTGAGAGAGAAACACTGTTT